TAGTATATATATATATATATATATATATATATATATATGTGCATATATATAAAATTAGTCATACTTTAAAAGACTTAAATTATAAAAAATTCAAGTTAAACTAGATACCTGAACCAAATATAATTCCCAATATTATAGCTACTCCTTCCAAAAGACCTAATTGTTTTTTCATTTGTATCTTGCTTATTGAGTTTTCTTGATTATTAGGTGGTGATCGAATAGATTCCTCATCATCTGAATTTATGAGTTGTATTTGTTTTGAACATTTATCTGATACTTCTTTCACCATTTTTCGTTTTCGTTTTCAGAAGATACTATAATCTCAATCAATGTAATAAATTAAGATCTTTTGTTCTTAATTTTTAATTTCATTAAATATATATTGGATATATAAAGAATAAAAATTGTCATAAATGACTTATGGAAACTTGATATGGGCAATATTTTTGCTTATATATATCAATTGCATTATCTGAAAATATGACAAATAAGTTTACAAAAATAAACATAAATTGATAAAATAACTTAGTGACTCTCAAAATCTAACAATCACAATTACAATAAAAGGCTAATAAAAGTCAAGATTATTGATAACAATGCGTATTTATTCTCCAGAGAATAAAATCTTTTTGCTCTATATTACATTGCAACGACTTTACCTTGTGTAAGATAAAGTTGTTACATAAAGCAAAAAGATTTTTATATCATTACATTTATTATTATATTTGCAATGTGTATGTGTGTATATATATATATTGCAAATGTAATAATAGGTATATTGTAATAGAACAATTTCTTTAATTTGTGAATTTAATGATGCAATATTTATAATTTATGCATTTAACTTTATTCAATTTAGTTATTCATTGTTTGTGATAAAAATTAAACTGCTACGTTTCCTATTATTACCACATTGCTTACTTATACTTACTTTCATTTATTTAAAAATTTTAAGCTATTAAATTCAGTTAACATTTCGAACACGTGAAGATAGAATGATATACATGCAGTGAAAGCATTGAACTATAATAATTGGCTGTATTGAGCAGAGGAAATAGCTTCGCACTGTTCTAAGAATCTTTGATATGATTGGTTCTTCCTCTAAAGATCCAAATGTATAAACCAATCATATTAAAGAATTTTATGACAATGTAAAGTTATTTGTTCTGCTATTTGTTCCATTGAAATGCTTGTGCTGTAAAAGATCTGTTTACATAAATCGTAACATGTAAAATGCAATTTACAAACTTAACATAAAAAAATATATTGATGAATCGCGTATAAATTCATATTGATATCTACACATATTTACTATGTTTACACAATTTACGATGAAATTATAACATCGATGTTATAACTACTGATGTTAGATGCCATGTAAACGCTATTTTATGACAAAATTAGTACATCGATTTTTTGTATGATACAAAAATCTTGTTACAAAGCGGTAGATATAGTCTTCTATATTTTGCTTTTTTTTGGTGATATATATTTATGATATATATTTTAGCTTCGTACACAAACTAAGAAGAGCTAATGTGACATTCTGATCCCAAACAGCAGCAAATACATTTTTTTATTAATAAAACAAAGAACAATTATTTCTTAAATTATAGATTACCTTAAAACATATATTCAATGAAAAATTAAAATAATACAAAAATTTTATTTTCTCAATATTTACCTTCTTACTTTTCTGCGAATGAATTATTTGATTCATTATATTTTTCTTGTATAACAAAACATTGGTGTTGTGAAACATCATCAAGTATTGCAATGTAGACACTGAATTTTTCTGGATGGCATCCGATTGATCAATATTGTCGATTGGCCAATTTTAAATAAAATTATTTGATTGGTTGATCCAGTGGAAAATCTCCAAGTATCGGTCGCTGTAAATGGCTGTGTCCAATTGCAACGTGTCAACAACAACGCTCTCAATTTTTCTTAAGTTTTATAATAAAAATGGTAAAAATATCAAATTTATAAGTATATAAATATAACTTAACTTCGTTATAATCATGGTGTAAAGAAACAAGATGTGCTCGTGAGATAGACCCAATTTGATTCATTTTACGCAGATATATTGGAACAAGTCGCCTTCCATTGATATTATTGAAAAATAATAGTAAAGTAAACCAAGTATGTTTGTGACTACGTGACATGTTTGATAATAGAGGATTTAATAATTATTAATAAAAGTCACAATAGCAGTTTTCAATTAAATAAATTTATTAATTGTTCTTTCCTTATTTATACATTTTGAATATCGCGATGAAAAACGCTGATTGGTTGATATATTAATATGGCCGGCTACTTATTCCACCATCCTCATTGATTAAACATTTTCACACGTAAGAGCACACCTTGTTTCTTTATACCATGAGTCGAATAGTGTTCTTTGAATTCGTCGATTTGCGTTAAAAGATATATTTCAAAATTATAATAATATACATTATATAAACTATACATTTTCAACGTATAGACAATTGAAAAATCGCGGCATTTATGAGTCGATCAAGATCTTGAATGTCTATTTTATGAATTTTAAATTAATAAATTCAATAAATTATTTTTAAAATTTCTAGAGTCTTGTTCGTAACTATAGATTTTTAATACTAGCAATAAAACACTTAAATGAATCAATTATTTCCTAGATTATGTTCCAAAATGTCCTCTCAGAGGAAAATTTTACTCGATATAATACAATATATACGTTATGTATACTATACATTTCGAGTAACATTTTTCTTGGCAAGAAATGTTTTGGAATGTTGTCCTAAAAGAGAAGCCGCCACACATTGGCATAACTGATAGTATAGAAATATCGACAATATCGCTATCATTAATATCGACATAATTCTGATACTTTTGATATATCGATATTTTTCACGATATAAATGTATCGAAACGAAATATCGATATATTTTCTATTGTATCACTTATTTCTAGTTGGCAGTAATTTACTAGTATCTGTAGTCAAGCCGGAACGAAATCGAGAAAACAGTAGGCGTACATTGGCGTACATATGCAAGATTAGAACAAGAAACACCTGAAAGCGAAACGCGTATGAGATATCGTCCTATGTATCAATAGTCGCGCCACACCGTGTTACATTTATTCCCTCTTTTATCCCCGCTTTTGCTCGTTGCGGCTTTTTTTTTTTTGTATCTCTACCGCTTTCCGTTGTAATTGAAAACGGATCATCCGATTGATTTCCGTATTTTCGCACGCGATAAGAAGAGAGGAGTCCCTTTGCTTACGCTCTTTTATCTCTCAAGAGTCACTCTTTCCATGTCAACGACACGCGCGCTCCTGCCAAGAGTGCCAAGACCAGCATCGAGTTACGCCCCTCGCATCGCTTGTTACCGCGTCGCTCTTAAAAAAAATTGTGCACGTTGTATTCGCGCCATTGGCAGAGATTTCGACAAGGGCCACCGACGGCATCGAACATCGGGAATCGCAGCGGCGAAGGAGGAGGGCGTCGTGCGATCGTGTCGGCGTCGCTCCTGGTAGCCTGAGATGAGCGACCATGGCTGCATACATTTGAATAATTTTAAAGCGGCCAAAGGCATCCAGCCATACAAAGTGATCCATTCATATTTCGTGACCAGTACATCGACCGAGGCACGCGTTAGGAAGGTACACCTATTTTTTTTTTTCTTTCTTGCATGCGACTCATAGTTGATTCTTGTCACACATTTTTTTCGGGAACTTTTTACCTTGTCCTTTCTCGCGCTTCGTTTGCTCGGTTCCCTCTTTTACGAATCTCTCTTATCTCTCCGTCACTCTACTATCTGGGCGAGTTTTCTCATTCATCGTTAAATCAGTGTGAAACAAAGAATTTTGTTATCATTGATAAACATTTGTTGTCATTGATAAACTAGATCGATATGTTTTTTTACAGCACTGAAGTCATCAGATTTAATCGACTCACTTTGCCGATAGACTGATGAAGTTTCTGATTGATAGGAGTGTATTTTTTAACCTAAAATATTATTTATTATTGTTTAATTTATGTTAGTTATGTGTGACGTGTGGAAAAATACAATATAAATTCAAAAAAGAGGAAATTTGCTCTCTTCTGGTTTTCCTTTAATTTTATAAATTTGTATATTTTCATGCGTAGAATATATTCTGAGAAGAAAGATCAGTCTAGATTTTGTATTCAAAGTTTTTGATAAGATTAGAAAATGATAATTTAATAATAATTTATGACCGCATGTTTACCATATATAAATTATCTGCCTTAATTAATTAAAAGCACGTTATTTTCTCATATAATTTAAATTATCAAATATAGTTTGTAATTATCAAAATTTATATCTTTCATTCTTTTTTGTGATTAAAATTCAGATATTAGAAAACTTTAAAATTAAAAAAAAGAGAGAATGAAATTAGAGCAATGATTTTTTTTCTCAGAATATATTCTATGCATGAAAATATATAAATTTACAAAATTACAGGAAAATTGGAAAAGAGAATGTTATATTACATATTTACCTAAGAAATGTATTGAGAGAAATTTCTTTTTAATTTTTCATAAGGCATTTCATTTTCAACATTTGGTGATAGGAACATTATAGTAATAGCTTTATTATTAAATGTTTACATGTAAAAATGTAAAAATATTTAAATGTTTACATGTAAGAAGTATAAAATTTGATAATTTGACTGAGAGTGCCATTATGTTCAGATTTAGAAAGTAAATTTTCTATTATCTAGAATTTTATTTAAATATTTGTTAATATATTTTTATTACAAAAAAAGAGATATATTATGTGTAAATGTAAGAAATAAAATATTTATAATTTCTAATACTAATTTCATATATCCAAAATTTTATGAAAAATTGTCCATAATTTAGAACAGAAGCACGAATACGACATATATTAATTTCACTTTAAAAATGCAACTTATTATGTAATTAGCAGTTTCATTAACTATCTTATTACTATACTGTATCTTATTGACTATCTTCCTATAAACTTCAAAAAAAATTTAGTTTATTTTTACTTTAAATAAATATAAATAATTTGGAAATAAATTCAAAAATTTAGAGAACAATTATAATTCTTTATTATATATAATGCTTTTTTGTCAGTTAAATATCAATTTTTATTAAACAAATTTTAAAGATAGAAATGCTCTTAAATGTACTGCAAATGCAGGTAGAAATTTAAAAAGAAATTATAATTATAAAAATGTTCTCTTTCATGCCGTTTCCTTTCTTTTAATGATAAGTATTTGTTTACATTATTACAATTTCTGAAATCATTAAACTATTCTCAGTTTATGGCTATATTCCACTTAGACTCTTATGTACTGTGAGCGCTATTTTAACTTTATTATTTATTATATGCCAAAGATAGAACAATGCTTATAGCGCTTGAATAATGGAATACAACATATAAGTTTCTATGGAAGCAGCATCAAATACAAGTAAAGATTTAGATAAAATTGACATTAACATTTGAATCTATATTCTATTTTTTTTAATATAAGATAATTGAAACATAAAATTAATTTTGAAGGAAAACTCAGATTCGACATGTAAATAAATGCAAGTAAGAATAATCATTCTTTTAGTCAAATAAATTCTAGATTTTTTCTAATTTTGGTTATATGATAGAATTTTGTAACTGTTCTGTAAATTTCTTTTCATTATCCGGATTATTTATATTTGATGATGTAGTAATTTATTTATATTTGATGTGTAGTAATTTATATACACGCGCGCGCGCATGCGCATGTGCGTGCGTGTGCGTATCATATGCATGTGCAAAAATTTGAACAATATTATTGCAAATACATTTTTAAAAAGTATTAAAAAATGCTTATTTTTAGTAACCTTTTTTTATTCAAAGTTTCTAATGATTCATTGATTTGCACATATTTAACATGTATTTTTATATATGATAACATAAATATTTTAATTTCTAAATATAAATAATATTTTATTTAACAAAATCTAAAATTATATCCTAATAAATCTAATATCATACTGTAAATATCTAAATTGAAAAATTACTTTAAATTTAAGTTTTACTTAAAATTTAAATTTTATATAGCAAATAATAAAAAATATAAACATAAAAAGTAAAGTTATAAAAATAATAAAATACAAACATAAAAAATAAAATTATTAAGATTATATAAAAAAAATTTTTTTTGCAGGCTGTGAGCTGTTTATGTCACACATGTAAAACTTATAAAGATCGACTACATTCTTGTCTTCATTGTATATTTTTTGGCTGCTATGCAAAAGGTCACATACAAGAACATGCAAAAACTAAGAAACATTTTCTAGGTAATGGAATATTTTTTAATTCAGATATATTTTATATACAAACATACACATACATATTCATATGTGTGCGTGCGTGCAAATTTCGTTTTCAACAAATACAATAAATAAAATTTATACATTTATAGCACGTAGTTTGCAGTTTAAAATAATTTCATGTTTTCATACTTTTCCTTTTGTAATTATTTTATTATTGTAGCTGTTGATTTATGTTACGGGAATATTTTGTGCTTCCAATGCGGCGACTATGTATACGACAGAGAATTATTAGCAGTAGCAAGAGCCCAATGGAGCGAATCAGCAAAATCCTTGAGTTTTGGAGAGTTTTATCGTGCGTGGGAGCCTACACAAATAGAGGCAGAATTGTTGAGAAAACATCCACGCCGAAGGCGCGTCGTAGAAAATTCCACTATAGGTAATAGAAAAACTTTGACGCTTAATAATCGCATTTAACATTAGATATATTTTGAAACTTTTGTTTACATACAATATTATAAGGATGAAAAACATGTTACAATAAAATTCAGTTATCTTTGATGTAATAACTCGTGTTGTTTTGATTTCAGGTTTAAGGGGATTGATTAATCTCGGGAATACCTGCTTTGTAAATTGTATTGTACAAGCACTGATTCATACTCCGTTATTACGAGACTATTTCCTTGCTGACCGTCATCACTGCCCGCAACCAAATCGCTGTCTGGTCTGTGAGGTATCTCATTTATTTCAAGAGTTTTATTCTGGCAACAAGGCTCCGCTGACACTTCACAAACTTCTCCACTTAATTTGGACACACGTCAGGCATCTAGCAGGTTATGAGCAGCAAGATGCCCATGAATTTTTTATTGCTACACTGGATGTCCTCCATAGACATTGTGAAGCCGCTCCAATATTGGTCAAAGATAACCCTCATCATTGCAAATGTATCATCGATCAGATATTTACTGGGTGCCTTCAAAGCGATGTTGTTTGTCAAGCTTGCAAGTATGTTAATTTTTCTTTGGAAAAAATATACTTAAAAAATAGAGAGGATGTATATTGTAGAATTTATAATGTGTATTTAAGTAATTAAATAATTGCATTTGTATAGAATATTATTTTGCACAGCTATTTTATATAAGCTCAAATAATTATTAAGACAGTTAATATAATATAAAATTTACTAAGGTATTAAAATTTAGAAATAGCTTATTCACATACAATGGGAATGTTTGCTACGAACAATTCATTTATAAAATCCTTTTTAGTGGAGTGTCTACCACAATAGATCCATTTTGGGACATATCTTTGGATCTAACTCCGGCGACTGGTGCTTCTGGTTCTGATACACACGGCCCACCTACTTCTTTACTGGATTGTTTAGAAAGATTCACCAGAGCTGAGCATTTAGGTTCTACTGCAAAGATCAAGTGTAGCAATTGTGAGACTTATCAAGAAAGCACAAAACAATTAACAATGAAACAATTGCCGATTGTGGCAATCTTTCATTTAAAGCGTTTTGAACACTTTATAATTCAGGATAAGATCTTTAAGAAAAAGATCTCCACATTTATTTCATTCCCGGAACAATTAGATATGACGCCATTCATGTCACATAAGCGCAATGGTAATAACAATAGCGCTATGCTAGATGGCTTATCAAAGAATAGAGAAGATATGAGCTTCAGTGACAATAGGTATACTCTATAAAGTAATATATAGTGATACTCTATAAAGTAATTTATTATTTTTCTCTATTTCTTCTTAATTGTTATGATCACTTATTTATCTTATGTTATATATTTATCTTATATCTTATTATTTTATAAAAGAAATGTACATTAAAATGATTACTTATTATTATTATAGGTACTCTCTGTTTGCTGTAATAAATCATGAGGGTTCTTTAGAAACTGGACATTATACTGCTTTCATTAGGCAACAGAGAGATCAGTGGTTTAAATGCAATGATCATTTGATCACACGAGCCAGATTGAAGGATGTTTTAACCAGCGAAGGGTAAGATAAGAAAGTGCGACACATACATACACACTCCACACATACACGTACACAGGGTGTTCTCTATAACTTGATCATTTAAAATATCTCTGTTGTTTTTGATGATAGAGAGAGATCAAGAAGATATCATGGGAGAAAATTGTTTGATTCGAAGGAACACGTATTATGATTAGCAATTTTTCCCATTTTTTAAAACTTCAAGATAATTGCGATTTTTTTTTAATGGAATGTATATTTCCATTAATGTAGTAATATAGTTCATTAAAAAAAAATTCAATCATATATGATAACCTTGAACAAAAATATAAAAATATATTCATGTGAGAAAACGAAAAGTAAACTTAATAAAACTTAAGTATTTTCAATGAAAATGACAGCTCTGATAGAACTACATTTTAATATGGTGGGTACGTGCGTGCGTGCGTGCGTAAAGATATGAGAATTATCTAAATTTATTACAATTTCTTGTCAGTATATAAATACAGAAAATTATGGATTGTTCTCTTAATAATAAAATTTTAATTTTTTAGGTATCTCTTGTTTTATCACAAGCAGATTTTGGAGTATGGCCGAAATAATAAAGTCTGAGAGAAAAAAGAAAATGTGAATTAAATAGTAATTAATTTATTTAACAAAAAGTTTAAAGATTGCTGCTGAAATTAGATATTGATGATATTTTACGTTTACCTGATAAATTATTGTCTCCAATGATTTTGGATTTCTGCCGGCGCCTTTTGTATTCAATAGGGTGTGCTAACTATTCGATCGACGTCTGTGTATGTCGTGAACATAATGTAAGCATAGATTAAGATTAGCTCAATTTTTAAATCGACCGATCGTAATTTTTGTATGTCGCTGACAATGACTGTTGTACTTCTGCTCTGGCACTTATACGTACATACATATTTATATATATAAAATTATATATATATATATATAAATTATATATATATATATAAATTATATATATATATAAATTATATATATATATATATATATATATATTATATATATATATATATATATATCATATGCCAGGAATGAGCCTCGCATGGATCTTTTTCTTTATTTCTGCACTTGCTTGCAGAATATTATCATCTTTGAATGCACGTGCCAGCAAACTTCTGGTATCGAATCTGATATCATTTCCAAACACTTCAAATCTTTATAGCAATTGAATATAAAATCTTGCATAGAAAACAAATGGACCTCTTTTTGTTACCATGGAATATAAGGTTTTACTGTTATCAAATTCAGTATTCCATAGATTTTTTTCATATGGAATACTGAACTCCATATTAGAAACCTTACAATCTAATATTTTTTTGTATGTACTATAAAACATTCTACATACTAATATAATATAATTTCATTAATATTGGTGAATTGATAGTCATCCCTAGACAACTCAACTTTGTACATAAAATAATATTGGGACAAATATGAAATATTGATCTAAAGCGAATTCTTTAAAACTTGCCGGACTTTGTATAATAAAGATCACTATTTGATAAACTGATTGTCCGTTCTATTTTTAAATTCTATATTTTCTCTGTATTTTCTTTTTAGGTATGTTTTTTATGTTTTAAATTATTGCGTGAGTGTAACATGTCACAACCAATGTGCTAAACATTTGGAAATACGACGTTTAATTTTAAATCCTGGCCTAATTATTTTCATTAATATAATGTCCCATTTACAAAACAGATTTTTATTAGCGAGTACATAATACAAATAAAAGATCTCTTGCGCCGGCAATTAGAAGTATATTTATGACATTAAACATTGAAATATTAATGTTAATTTTATATTTTATCTTGTATTATATTCTTAAATTTTTAATCATTTTATTATAAATCAAAAACGAGAAGTTATATAAATTTCTCTTTTTTTTATTTTTCTCTTTTTTATTAAATAATCTGTAGTGCTTTCAAGTAATTCAGTGCTTAAGATACAATGATGAAATACTATATTTCGTTTTACATGAATACTTAAACACTAATGCTAATACTGGTGTAGTAATGAAATTTTAACATGAATCACTGTTAAAATTGCTGAAGTTAAACACACATATCAATATTTAAATATACGTACGCGACTTACCGAATTGAAATACCATAGTGTATATTTAAATATTGATATGAGTGTTTAACTTCAGCAATTTAATTCTGACCAGTGATTCAAGTTGAAATTTCATTACTACACCAGTAATTGCAGCATAACAATATGTATAAGGAAAATTGTCCGCATTTCTGTCACATACAGAGACACATAAAATGCGATCAGATATTTATGCATATAGTTATGCTGCTATGCAAATTTGTCTGGATAGGCCCTAAGGCTGCGATATTCATTGCCAGTACGGAAAATATATAGTTCAGGTCACGTATATTATAGATTTTCAATACTGGCAGTAAATATCGGAACACAAAGATAGGAATCATTCAAAATCATTTGACATGCTCTCCCTCATGTTATGGGTGTTATGTTACGCGTGACCATTATGTGCAATTAGATATTTAGATATTTGAAGCATTAGTGAATTGATTATGGAGACTCAACCATTAAAAGCGTCTGAAAAATTGCCATCACCATCACCATCACCATTACCACCACCACCGTATTCTGTTGCGACAGCTCCAGCAGGTACGCAGCGTACGTTTTTAGGTTAATCATTTCAAAGGATTCTCTTTCTCGTGATTACGCACAAATAATTCTCGATTCCATTTCTATGGCGTTTCCTTTTAACGTTTTCTGAGTTAATAATTAACACTTCAGTATCTTATAAAATTTGATAGATGAAGCAAATTTATAGACGTAAACTAATAGAGATTTGATGGTCGTTCAATCGATTAAATCTGTCAGAAATAAATTTTGTCCGCAGGAATCAAGCATACATAATATAACCTGCTCTAACAGAATATAATAGTAGACTGCTAACAGAAATCAAAGAATATGCTATATTTGCTTTATAATTATTTATAATTATTTATATATCTAGATAGTCGAATGTGTTGGAGTTTGCAAAGTATCAGCTATAAATTTTGTTAACAGAAAATTTACAGATTTAATACAGGTTCTAGTTGGATATAATATAATTTATCAGCAATAAAAATAATTGTATGTAGATTGGCTGTAGAAATAAACAAAATTTATGTTTGACAGATTTTATCTGGTTTCTGACTTTATTCAATTTCCCAGCTGTTACACGTTTTATCATTTCAACATTAGATTTTAATTTCCTTCACTAATCACTTGATGACATTAATGTCTTTATGATGTGAAAAATGATAATGTAATGTCACAAAATTTAGATATCATTGCAGATATTGTATTTTCGATGTCATACAGCATTCTTTTCATGAGCAATATGATATATTTAAGAATAGAATTAACAAGTAACATGTACATAGCTACAATGTATTGTCTAAGTGAGAATATTGTGACGAACATTAAGGCAGATAAGGTTAGATTAGATAAATAAAATGAAACAAGAAATTTAAAGCGTTTTCGAAACATATTTTAGGTAAAATTCAGAGATATCAGAGAACAAGAGGACCTAAAGATATTATTTTTCTTATATATTTAATCATGATACAAAGTTATATACAAAGTTCCTGAAAACTATTTGTAATTGTTATTACTTTTAAGAGGAATTATAAATATATCCAATAAAATAATGCTAAATAGAAATGAAATTGATAAAATTTATAAATTTAAAAAATTTTAGAATTTGATTTTATCAACATAAAACGAATCATCACGAATCATTACAAGGCATGACCAAAATATTATATCATAAAGATATAATATTCTTAATAATCATCATTAAATTGATTTATATATATGACTATCATTTTCACTTTGTGTCATTATGTATGAATATATCCAATATTCGACATCAAAATGATGTATACTTGCTATCTAGGTTGATGTCAAATTATGTTTACTAGACTCTAATAAAACAAGCTTAATAAAGATATAATTGATGTCAATTTTTAATCAAATTGTTTAATCAATTTGTAGTTAATCCAGTATACAATTTGTCTATCAGATATAATCCATCTAAATAGTTATAATAAATTTTATTCAGTTTCTACTAATTATCTGCTATTAAATAATATCAACAGTCTGCTGACAAAATATGACTTTAATGTTAACAATGTTGCTACAATATTTAACTTAAATCTATTAACAAACTGTCAACATTTTTTTAAAATATTTTATTTGTCATATTTATGTATAGTATATTTTCAAAATTGAAAAGAGAAATGTTTATTTAAAGAAGGAAAGAACAAGTAATAACAATTTGCAAATTGTCGTTTGTCTAATATGTTTATAGTATATTTTTCTTATTAGTGACTACGTTATGGCATTCATCTCCCGAATATTCTAATAATATTGATCCTGGATATCAAGGAAACTATGTCCCATCATATGGCTCTACATATTCCACTGCTATTATTGTCCCAGAAATTATTCTAGTTGGTGGTTGTCCAGCATGCAGAGTACATAAATTTTTTATTATTCAAATGTTACTTATTGATTATTTTAAAGTTAATGGTAAAAAATTAATGACATTTAAATTATGAAAAACAGGTAGGTGTGATGGAAGATGATTACACATGCCTTGGCCTACTATGTGCGATTTTCTTCTTTCCCATTGGGATTCTTTGTTGTCTGCTATTAAGGACAAGACGCTGTTCGAATTGCGGAGCCTATTTTGGTTGATTTAAAATAAGATATGCCTATACTTGTATATAAAAAATGATATGTCAAATAGATCTAAAGTTAGGTAAAAAGTTAGATAAAAAGTATTTAAATATTTAAGTAACAATCAATATTGCAAATTATAAGAATTCAGTATTTAGTTAGAATAATAAATATATATTAAAT